GAGGATTTAAAAAATGAATAAACAAACTAACCCTACAAATTAAAGAATTAGAAAGAGAAGAACAAGAAAAGTCAAGCAGGAAGGAAGTAATAAAGATCAGAGAAGAAATAAATAACACAAAGATTAAAAAAAGAATACATAAGACCAATGAAACCAAGAGCTGATTCTTTGAAAAGATACACAAGATTGGTGAACCTTTAGCCAGACTCATCAAGGAACAAAGTGCTCAGCAGGTGTGGCTCATTGAATTGAGCATCATCCCATGGAATGAGAGGTACCAGTCTGATTCCTGATCAGGGTACATGCCTGTGTTGCAGGCTTGATCCCCAGTAGGGGGCATGCAGGAGGCAACTGATCAATGTTTTTTTCTCATATTGATGTTTCTATTGATCCCCTCCTCTTTCTCTCTAAATAACCAATACAAACATATTTTTAAAACTTTAAATAAACAAAGAAAGGGGAGCCAAATAAAATCAGAAACAAAAGAGGTAAAAGGAACAACTGATACCATAGAAATACAAAGGATTCTAAGAAAATACAATAAACCACCATATGACAACAAATTAGACAATGTAGGTGAAATGGACAAATTCCTAGATTCATACAGTCTTCCAAAACTCAACAAAGAGGATTCAAAAAACCTGAACCGATCAATAAAAACTAATTAAATTGAAGCAGTAATCAATAAACTTCCAGCAAACAAAAACCATGAGGGCTTCACAGGGGAGTTTAACCAAACATTCAAAGAAGAACTAACAGCTATTATCCTCAAACTATTCTAGAAAATTCAAGAGAAAGGAACACTCTTAAGATCTTTTCATAAGGCCAGCATTATCCTAATTCCAAAACCAGATAAAGAAAATACAAAAATAGAAAATTACAGGCCCATATCCCTCATGAACATAGACATGACAATCCTCAACAAAATATTAGCAAATCGAATCTGGGAATATATTAAAAAGATATCCCAGGGATACAAGGTTGGTACAATGTCTGCAAATCAATAAATGTGACACACTACATAAAGAAAATGAAATATAAAAATCATATGATCATATCAATAGATGCAGAAAAAGTATTTGAAAAAATCCAGCACCCATTTCTGATAAAAACTCAGCAGAGTGGGAATAGAAGGATAATACCTCAACATAATAAAGGCCATATATGACAAACCTGCAGCTAACATCATACTCAATGGGCAAAAACTAAAATTATTTCCCTTAAGAACGGGAACAATACAGGGATGTCTGCTTTCACCACTCTTTAAAAAAAATGTTTTTATTGCTTTTTTGAGAGAAAGAGGAAGGGAGAGAAAGTTGGAAACATCGATGTGAGAGAGACATCAATGAGCTGCCTCCTGCACCCTCCTACTGGGGATTGAGCCAACAACCTGGGTATGTGACCTGACTGGGAATCTAACTGGGACCTCTCAGTGCATGGAACAATGTTCAATCCATTGAGCAACACTGACTGGGCTGCTTTCACCACTCATATTCAACACAGTACTGTATGTCTTAGCCACAGTGGTCAGACAAGAAGAAAAAATAAAAGATATCCATAGGAGAAAGTGAAACCATCATTATTCACAGATGACATGATACTGTACATAGAAAGCCCTAAAGAATCCACCAAAAAACTACTAGGTTGAATAAATGAATTTGGCAAAGCAGCATGATACAAAATTAACATCCAGAAATTGTTGGTATATATATATATTTTTTAATCCTCACTGAGGACATTTTTCCATTTTTTGTACAGATAGAGTGGGAGGGAGAGAGAGGAAGAGAGAGAGAGAGAGAGAGAGAGAGAGAGAGAGAGAGAGAGAGAGAGAGAGAGAGAAACATCGATGTGAAAGGGACACATCGAGTGGCTGCCACCCGCACGACCAACCAGGGCCGGGGACAAACTGCAACCGAAGTACGTGCCCTTAGCGGGAACTGAACCCGGGTCTCTCTGGACTGCAGGCCGACGCTCTAACTGCTGAGCCAAACCGGCCAGGGCGGTATTTTTATACACCAATAATGAACACACAAAACAAACAAACAAAAATCCCATTTACCATTACAACAAAAATATTAAGATACCTAGGAATAAATTTAACCAAGGAGGTAAAAGACCTGTTCTCAGAAAACTACAGGATGTTGAAAAAAGAAATAGAGGAAGATATAAGCAAGTGGACACATATATCATGTTCATGGATAGGAAGAATTACCATCATAAAAATGTCCATACTACCCAAAGCAATCTAAAGATTCAATGCAATCCCAATAAAATACCAAGTACATATTTTACAGATCTAAAACAAATACTCCAAAAGCTTATATAGAACCAAAATAAACTCCAAATAGCTGCAGCAATCTTGAAAAAGAAGAACAAAGTCGGAGGGATCACAGTACCACAGATACCAAATTATACTACAAAACCACTGTAATCAAAACAGACTGGTACTGGCACAAGAACAGGCAGACAGATCAATGGAACAGAAAAGAGAATCCAGAAATCAACCCAAAACATTAAACTCAATTAATATTTGACAAAGGAGTCAAGAGCATACAAGAGAGTAACGACAGTCTCTTCAATATATTGTATTGGGAAAACTGGACAGGTACAGGCAAAAAAATAAAACTAGACCACCAACTTACACCATACACTAGAATAAATTCAAAATGGATAAAAGACTTAAATGTAAGTGGAACCATAAAAATCCTAGAAGAAACCATAGGCACCAAAATTTCATACATCTCACGTAGTAGGATCTCTCACCTAGGGCGAGAGAAACAAAGGAAAAAATAAGCAAATGGGGCTATTCAAACTCAAAAGCTTCTGCACAGCAAAAGAAATCAGTATCAAAATGAAAAGGGAACCCACTGTATAGAACATAATTGCCAATGATACATTAGATAAGGGGCTAATTTCCAAAATATATAAAGTACTCATACAACTCAACAAGAAAAAGACAGACAGACTAATTAAATAATGGGCCAAAAGAAGCCTGGCCAGTTTGGCTCAGCAGTTAAAGCATCGGCCAGTGGACCAATGAGTTGTGGGTTCAATTCCGGTCAAGGGCATGGACCTCGGTTGCGGTTCATCCCTGGTCTAGGTCGTGTGGGAGGCAGACAGTCAATGTGTCTCTCTCACATCTATGTTTCTCTCTCTCTCCCCCTCTCCCCCTCCCTCCCACTCTACCTGAAGATAAATAGAAAAATATCCTTGGGTGAGGATTTTAAAAAATGCGCCAAGAACCTAGATTCTTTTCCAAAGAGGACATACAAATGGCCAACAGACATATGAAAAAATGCTCAATGTCGCTGATCATGAGAGATGGAAATTAAAACAACAATGAGATATCATTTCACAGCTGCTGGAATGGCCGCCATCAACAAACAAATGTTGGTGAAGATGTGGAGAAAAGGGCATCCTAGCACACTGGTGGTGGGACTGTAGACTGGTGCAGCCACTATGGAAAACAGTATGAAGTTTCCTAAAAAAAAATATAAAATTGAACTGCCATTTGACCCAGTGATCCCACTGCTAGGAATATATCCTGAAACACAAATCAGAAAGAATATATTCACTCCAATGTTCATAGCAGCACTATTTACAATAGCTAAGATCTGGAAACAGCCCAAGTGTCTATCAGTAGATGAGTGGATAAAAAGCTGGCACATTTGCACAATGGAATACTATGCAGCTGTAAGAAAGAGAGATCTCTTACTTTTTGAGACAGCATGAAGGGACCTGAAGAATATTATGCTAAATGAAATAAACCAGTCAGAGAAAGACAAGTATCACGTGATCTCACTTATATATGGAATCTAATGTACACAATAAACTGACAAACAACAAGATCCAGAGACATGGAAGCATGGAACAGACTGACAAACCTCAGAGGGAAGAAGGACAAGGGGGAGGGATAAGATAAACCAAGGAACTTATATGCATATATGAATAACCAACTGACATAGACAATAGTGTAATGAAGGGGGGGGGGCGGTGGGAGTGGAGAGGAGAGAATGAAGTCAATGGGGAGAAACGGGGGGATATCTGTAATACTTCTAAGAATAAAGATAAATTAGAAAGAAAAAAAGAAATGAGGACTAAGTAGACAGATGAGGAGTAATTTCCCACAAGTCTTCTTAGATGAATGCAATCCTACCCAGAGAAGCAAATGTGATCCAATAAATCAGGCTGGGAGATGATCTGTATTCCATACAAAATGAGAGGGGCTGGGGATACCAACTGTCTCTCAGAAATACTTCATTATCAGTTCTCAAAAGTGAAGAAATAAAAACTCAGTTCAGATTGTTCCCCTATCACATTTAAAACTCTTACCTAATTATCACTAAAAACATGCATAAAGTATAAAATTTAGATGAAGCACAACATTAAGTTTTCTTAAATTGGATTTTAAAATTATAAATGCATGACTTACTTAAATAAAATAATTTAAAAGACAAATATAATAATGCATGAACAATTTTGGAAGGACACACAAACTATCACTTTGCTGACTATATGATGCTGAAGCAGTAGGAAGTGAGACTGAGTTTTTCTTCATGCCCCTCTTTGATTTTTGTAAACTATGAGCATGTTTTACTTTATAGTTAATAAAGAGAACCTTTTAAAAAAACATAACACAGATTGAGTTATACTGTGATTCGATATCCCAGGTGCTGTAGTATGCTTCTTTCACTATTATAGGCATCTATTACATACTAACTACCTCTCAAGTAGAAGTTAACAAATTTGAAGGTTCATAAGTAAGTGACTAAGATATATAGATTAACCAAAAATCATCAGTTCTTCTATAAACTATAACTCTTTTCATGATCTAGTATGATTTCATGGCATGTATTCAGAGCACGTTCATAGTGTCTATTACGTAGTAATAAAAGTAAAGAGGCAGTAGTAATTATATATTAATTTGCCATTATTATAATCACTGAAATTTTACACAAAAAGTTCATTACATTTCAGTAGTGAAGTTATGTAAAACTTACCTATCAATAACATAAAAGTTGTCACCATCATCACCTTGATCAATTACATGTTCCCCTTCTTTGACCAATTTTTCAAACATGGCATCTAATACTTGAGACATCTGCTCCTATTTTTTTTTAAAAAGAGAAGATATAACATTATGTTTATTTAGAACATGTTTTCTTAAGTAACCATAACTAGCTTTATATTTCTGTGAACAAGTGCAAACAATTGGAAATACCATCATTGCTATTAAGTCTTATTAAAAATACACAGCACAATCTTTCTGACCACATACAAAGATGATTATATATTTACTCTCATATTTAGTATCTAAATAAAAGTAATTATAATTAGCCTATTTCAGAATATTTGCAATTATCACCACTTTAGCATAAAATATCAACCACCAAATCACATATATCTTATAAAAAAATATTAGCAACAAAAATGACTAGGTTAATGGACTGCTAGCCACCAGGGAAAAAGCTAGAGGATAACAGTACAATTGCTGGGCGAGCAACTCTAACCAGGAAAGTAAGACATGACAGTGGTGTTTAATGTGGGTCCTCCCTTGCTCATCTAAACCTAGGACAGGGATCCACAAACAGCAATACACCAATACCCACAGGAAAAACTTGGCAGGCTAGAAAACCAACTGTGATAGCCAAAATGGTGAAACACAGAAACAAAAGCCAAATGAAAGAACAAGAGACCGCCACTGAAGATGATATCAATGTGGAGCAGTTAAGCATGTTAACAGAGCTAGAATTCAGAGCCATGATCTTGAGGAAGCTCAACATCATGAGTAAGGACATAGAGATGCTGAAAATAAACCAATTAGAAATTAAAAACCACCAGGAATAGATCAAGAGTGACGTATCACAAATAAAAAACACATTGGAAGGTCTAAAGAGCAGAGGAGAGGAAGCTGAGGACTGGATCAGTGAATTAGAAGACAGAGTAGAAAAAAAACAACCAATCAGAAAACAAAACAAACAAACAAAAAAATGATTAAAAAACAGGAAGACAGCTTAAGAGAACTGTGGGACAATTGGAAACGTAATAATATTCACATCATTGGAGTCCCCGAAGAAGAAAATAAGCAAGGATTAGAGAATATATTCAAAGAAATAGTGACAGAAAACTTCCCTAATTCGGTGAAGGAAGAAGGCATTCAAGTTCAAGAAGCACAGAGAGCCCCAAGTAAGAAGAACCCAAACAGGCCCACACCAAGACACACAGTAATTAAAATGCCAAAAATTAAAGACAAAGAGAGAACCCTAAAAGCAGCAAAAGATAAGCAACTGGTTACCTACAAAGGAACCCCCAAAAGGCTCTCAGTTGACTTCTCACAAGAAACACTACAGGCCAGAAGGGAATGGCATGAAGTAATCAAGGTCATGAAAAAAAGGATCTGAATCCAAGACAATTCTACCCAGCAAGGCTATCATTCAAAATAGAAGGTCAAATAAAGAGCTTCCCAGACAAAAAAAGGCTAAGGAAATACATTAGCGCCAAACCAGCACTGCAAGAAATGTTAAAAGGACTGCTGTAATTAGTAGAAGAAATAGGAAGAAAAATAGAACCACACTAAACAAAAATGGTAATAAATAAGTACATATAAACAACCACCTTAAACGTAAATGGGTTGAATGCTCCAATAAAAAGACAGAGTAGCTGATTGGACAAGGAAAGTATTATCCTAAATGAAACAAGCCAAGCAGAAAAAGACAAATACCACATGATCTCACTTATATATAATAAATATATAAGTCTGAGGAATAGGGTAGACCCAGAAAAACGGAAGTAGGGTACAGACGGACAACCCTCAGAAGAGGGGGTGGTGGGGGGTGGGAAGAGATAAACCACAGAACTTATATGCATGTATGCATAACCAATGGATACGGACAACAAAGCCAGGGACGGGGCTGGGCGGGATGGGGAGGAGGGTGTCAATAGGGTGAAAAAGGAGAAACGTCTGTAACAAAAATAAAATTATATAAATAAAAACTAAAAAAAATAAAATGACTAGGTTAAATAAAGAACTATTGCAAATGTCATTTTAAAAATCTGTTTTTAAATCTTCCCTATATTAGTTATCAGTAGAATTTGTATGGAGATTACCTAAATACTTAGTGAATTTAAATCTTGACTCCAGTTGTTTTGGTTTAGCACCCAAAACAGAAAATAACAAAAGCAAAACCCAAAAATGACTGTAGTAAATCACGATTCTTTGTCACTAGGGTTCTCTTCGAGAAGCAACCATTTACTTCCCTAGAGAAGGTTTATTATAACTGAAGCTAGAAACATCAATTCTGTTATCCAAAAACTACTTAAAATATATAAAATTTTTACTTTGTTAAAGTGTCATTGACAATGCTTAAGGATAAACTTTAGTTGGTGGGAATAAACCAGGAGGGAAAAGAAATTCTTAGAACAAACACAGAAACAATTCAAAGGACTCTGAATAGACAAAAGAAATAGATATGGAAAAGTAGTATGATGTATAGTAATAGAAAAGTCAAAAGATTTAAGAGGGTTATTTGCTTTGCCACTTATTAGGTCTGAACATTTGATCAAGTTACTCTTTATCGGTATTAAAAGGGTACACCATTAACTTGCCCAGGCCAAAACCAATTATAATTATAAGCTAAGGAGCTGAAATTAGATTAGGGGGCAGGGGAAGATGAAGTGGAAAACACAGAATGAAGAAACAAGATGCTCTGGATCAAAAGAAAGAACAGACCACATGTAACTCTCTTCTTTTTGAAAATTTCAAAGGGAATATGAAGGTATGAATACATAAAATATAGAGTATGAAAAGGGGAAATTGATGGAGGTGAGATTTCTATATCATAGGCAAGTTAGATGGGAGTGGCAGAGAGAGGGCACAGTCCTAAATTGGTCAGATGGGCATGAAGAGGTCAACCAACTGTCAGGGCACCACCAGGCTAGGAAACACCGGGTTCAGTCAGGAGAGACTGAGACATAGGTGAAAACAAGTGGACTGATTCAGAGTCCTACGCGATTTTGGATATCTTGCAAATGCCTCCATCCTGAACACAGAACCCTAGTAACCAAGTATTGACCCAACTCTTTCTAGACAGAAGATTGGAGTCAGGGTTTTGGCAGAAACTAAACAAATTAGCCCAGCCAGTGTGGCTCAGCAGTTGAGCGTCGACTCATGCACCAAGAGGTAACCAGTTCGATTCCTGGTCAGGACACATGCCCAGGTTGTGGGCCAAATCCCCAGTATGGGGCATGTAGGAGGTGGCCAATTGATGTTCTCTCTCATCGATGTTTCTCTCTCCCTCTCCCCCTCTCCTTCTCCCTCTCCCTCTCCCTCTCTCTCTCCCTTCCTAAAACAAAAAAAGAAACTAAACTAATTAGAGAAAACTAAAACCACTACTGTGACTACTGGTGTCCTAGAATAAAGACCTTCACTTGCTGGCATTTAAGGGTTCCTCCATGTAACAGCTGATTGATTCCCTGTCTGCTCAACCTAAACAGTCAGTAGACAGCCCTGCCCTACTTACTCAGAGTGTTAAGTCAGCTTTGTGTTGCTCCTTTGGTAGCCTACAAGACTAAGATAAACAGCAAAATAAGAAAAGATAAGATGGAGGATTCAGGAACGGTAAAGAGCTTTTAGAAAGTTCTGCTTTGTATACCCAGGGATTCTCAAGATGATATTATATTCATGAGATAAAAAGTAGAAAAAGAGGAAATCAGAGAAAAACAAGTAAGTTGAAAATTAAAAACAAGACTGCCAACATTTTTTCTTCCTTTTAAATATATTATTTTTAGAACAATTTTGGGTTTATAGAAAAACTGAGGAAAAAGTATAGAGTTCTCATGTACCCTCTGCCCCATCCCCCACTCTCTCCCCTACTATTAACATCCCCCACCAGAGCGGTACATTTGTTATAGTTGATGAACCTACATGGACACATCATTATCACCGGAAGTCTATAGTTTACATGGAGGTCACTCTTGGTGCTGTACCTTCTATGAGTTTTGACAAATGTATAATTACATGTATCCATCATTACAAAATAGTTTAAAAAGTAAACAAAGGGATAAGAAAATAAAACCAAAACCTCAAAGAAAGTTGATAAAGGGATAAAAAGACAACAGTTTCACAGAAACTGAAAATAAAGAAAACAATGGGGAGAATAGAATCAAAGAAAGGTGGAACATATTTTCCAGAACCAAAGGACTGAAAGTGTCCAACATAATCAATGACCAAAACCCACCCTAATTTGACAATGTAGTTTTATTTTTAATTTTTTTTTCATTATTGATTTAAGGGAAAGGGAGTTAGAGATAAAAACATCGATGAGAGAGAATATCGATTGGCTGCCTCCTGCATGCCTCCCACTGGGGATATGGCCCACAACCGGGCATGTGCCCTGACTGGGAATCAAACCAGTGACCTCTTGGTGCATGGGTTGATACTCAACCACTTGAGCCACACCAGTCGGGTGACAATGTAGTTTTAGAACACCAGAGATAAAGAACAGATCTGTAAAACTTCCAGCAAAAAGAGGGAAGGAGCTCTTAAAAATACAAAAAAGAATCCTGGCCAGTGTGCTCAGTGTTTGGAGTGTCAGCCTGCACACTGAAGGGTCACGGGTTCAATTCCCAGGCAACCAATCAATGTGTCTCTCTCACAGTGATGTTTCTCTTTCTCTCCCCCCCCCCCCTTTACTCCTTCCACTCTCTCTATAGATCAATTGAAAAAATACCCTCGGGTAAGGATTAACAACAACAACAAAAATATAAGATGTTCAACTTCTTCCATAGTAAAGAGAAATACAAGTTAAAATTGAATTTAGATAGCATTTTGATCTGTCAGATTAAAAAAGATAAAAATGTTACAGTAACAGTGTTGGAGACAGTGTGGAAAAGAGGTCGCCTCACACAGACTGCTAATGGGAAGGTAAAGTGGAACAAACTACAGTGGGTGATCTGTCAATATTTGATAAAATTTCAAATACATACACATTTCACCTCACTATTCTTTTTTTTTTTTAATCCTCACCCGAGCACATTTTTCCATTTTTTTTGTTCAGATAGAGTGGGAGGGAGAGAGAGGAAGAGAGAGAGAGAGAGAGAGAGAGAGAG